TTTTTTTTTTTTTTTTCTGTTAAATGTGAGTGTGGACTTACACATATTGGTTGATTGCCTTATATTCGGTCTGCTAAACGTCTATGGCTTGCTCTATTTCATGAATATGTGGGACATGTAGAACTTCTGTTAGTGAGGTAAATGCTTACTGTGACTGTAGTAATTCAAAATGTCCCAGGTTTACTTGAATAAGAACTTGGTGTTTGGCCATTTTTTTTCTTTGCATTTCGTTGTTGAGGCTCGACCTGTTTAGCCAGTTTGTGTGTATAAGTTTGAGTCTACATTTTAGTCTGTTGTTTAAATTATCGAACTTTCTAGCTTCTACTAAAATGTCTGAACTGTCTTGCTTAATATACCATCCATGTGCAAACGCCAAACAGTGAATTTTAAACAGTGGTATAATGGATTTGTTTGTGTAATTGCTGGTATTTAGTCAGAGCTATCATGAAGAATAACTATAATGAGTTACGTTAATTTATCGTGCGTGCAGGCCAACGATATTCATAGAGATAATCCAGAGAATAGGGTGCATGCTGAAAGACGAACAAGGAAGGACTTATCAGAAAGGCGGGTGTGGAGGATTTGGAAAGGGCAACTTTTCAGAACTCTTTAAGTCCATTGAAGAATATGAGAAAACGCTTGAAGCCAAACTAGTGAGTGAAAAGGCAAAGGCTTGACCGCCATACAGACACCATTGCAAACTAGTAAAAGGATAAAATCTTGACCACCGTGCAGACACACTTGCAAACCAGTAAAAAAATAAATATCTTCGAAAGCTCTTGAACTACATTATATGCCTGTAATCGTGAGTGAACTTAATTGTGTAAGAACTGCGGTTTCTTAATAATTTATTTTACTGCCATTTAAGGGGTCATGTAATTACAATGTCCGAACTAAATGCAATGTTGTGTATGGTTGTTTTGATCATCCCAGATGATCTGTGTTTGTATAGTGCAATTCATCAGAGAAGTTGCTATGTACTAGTACTTTTTGAATAAAAAATATATTTTTATATCGTAAAATGTCTTACTTTTAGAAGTAGTTAAGCAGTTTTGTTAAATTCTAAAGTTTTGTAGGGAGAGCTTTGCCGCCCTTGTGGTCCTACCCGGCTCGATTCCGGATTAGTCGGTTCCCCTGTGGGTCCGGAAACCGGAAGGTCCCTGTACCAAAAAAATAAAATAAAAAATTCTAAAGTTTTGTTTCTAGACAATATGTATATGCCTGCCAAGTGCCAAGTAGTCCTAAATCATACCTACTATATGCCTGACAATATGCAATTTCCTTTTGTTGATTGAGATTGGAAAATGACTTCTAGACTGTGTTGATTGAGCTACTGATTATCTAGATTGAGTTGTCCTTACATTCCTGTGAAATAATCTTCCTCAATAACATATTCGTTTTCGAGTTTGAATGGGCAGAATATGCATGGAAACAATAAGAATCACGTTACTGATTTCCTCAAAGGCACCCTCACCAGATTTAGAGTATTTAGCACGTTAGTGGATGCTTTGGAAACATACGTGTTTTTTTTCTTAGAAACATACGTGTTTTTCAGAAGCGAAGATGAGAGCCCAATTATCACCTTATTACTTTGATCATGGAGGGAAAAAAAGCACATTGCGTACAAAGTTATCGTGCAGCATGAATACATGTAATCTTCTACCTTCCCATGATATTCTTCCTTTTGTCATCTAACTCTGTAGTTTATGGCAGTGCTGCAGAGTCTGACTGACGGAAAACAAACGTTGGGATGGGCTGATGCAGAAGAAATTAAAACTATGTCGTTTATCCAACACGATGTATGTAAATGCGAATATCATTGTATTTGGTGTTGTAAATAAGTTTCTACATTACCTATTATTTGTGTATTTGTCACCCTTTAGTTTGTAACAGAACAATTCTCGTTGGGTTACACTGGTTCAATATTTGATAAATAATTAAGTTACTAGTACAATACCCATTGGGAAGCCAATTTTGTTGCAAATTTTTTGGCTTCTTTGGTGGCAAATAGTCCAGGTGGCCTTCATATGTTGGAGTGTCCTCCTCCGGGAGAGGGCACATGTTTACACCATGATATGATCGCGTGGTCTATTCTCGGGAGATTCTTAGACTGTTTGTTGCGTAGGCTTGCCTCCCTTTCTTGACATCAAAATTTTATTTTAAATTTTGAAAAACTTTTAGAATAGTATTGTTAGTTTAAAATTACGCTAGAGTGTTATACGTGAACATAATATTATTAAATCACATTAGTTTTTTCAAAGTTTAAAGAATTAATTATAGTACCATTATGTTGAATTTTACTTTGCTAGTATTAATTATGGCAATGAGCGCCTTGGAGGGTTGTCTAGGTTATAATCGCTTAGAGCACCCCCAATGTATTGAGTTTCTTTAAAAAAATCATATACCAAAAATAGGAATTTAGTCTACAAAAAATGTCTCACAATGCAATTAAAAGTGGACATGATCGATCATATGCGACAATAAAACAAATAGACTAAGTCTACTCTTGAGTCTATTTTAGACCCAAGTACAAATCCGAACAATCAATATTTATTCCTAATTTATTTTTTTTATTGATATGGTAAATAAATTACTTTTTTTTATTGGTTGACAAGTATTCTAGACCTAGTATTTTATTTTTTGCATTGAATAACTTTTGGGTTTTATTTATTTGAGTTTGTTGTCATTCATGATTTAAGTCAATTTATATGCCATATATGTAAAATTAGACCCAATGCGTTATGAATGCTCCGGGGTAATTTTGCACTACAATAATGAAATTTTGCAGTTAAAAAATAATGAAGATTTATTTAAGAAAAAGTAGATGTAATATGAATTTATTATAATTGGATTAAGAATAATGTCGCATTTATCGCATTGTGATTTAAGACGCTAAGCTATGTTTAAAGGGAGATTCTACGGTCTTGTTATGTAATCTTTTTGTTGGACTTTATAACCGTTATATCAATTATCCAGTTATAAATCTGGACGGAATGGTTCCCCGCTGCAGCATTTCTCATGTTTAAAATGTAAAAAGTGAAATATAAACTATGATCAACATTGGCAATGCACGAAACCGCAGGCAAACCCACCGCAGATGGGCACGGTACAACTCCTGAAGGGAAACGTCCAAAATCTTTCCTCCGACCAAGATGATCATCAAACAAAAATCCCTTCTCCCAGGCCCCCTCACGTGCTGATGTCAGTGGACGGAGAAACCTCGCCGACCGTGGCTCTAGAGAGAGAATTGGAGGAGGGAGAGGAAGACGACGAGGGTGTAATGCTGAAAAGGCGAGAAAGAGACGATGACGGCATAAACAGCTGCAACGCCGCCCCGTCGCCGTCGCTGTGGTGTCGGAAAATGGTCGTGGAGGAGGTGGCGAGGGTGCTGACCGGCGGGGATCTGAAAGCAAGGATCGAGGCTGCGAGGGACGTGAGGAGGCTCGTGAGGAAGTCCACCAGCGTTAATGCCAAATCAGCCGTCCGCTGCCGGTTCGCTGCAGCCGGAGTTATCGAGCCGCTCGTTTCGATGCTCCACGTCTCGTTTCCCCTCGCCGCCCGCGAGGCGGCGCTGCTCGCGCTTCTCAATCTGGCTGCTCGCAATCAGAGGTATTGCCCCCTTCTTCTCTTACGCGTCTTGAGAAAAGCTTCTGCTGTGAACTTTGATTGTGCGAAGTAATTGCTTGTTCGAGCTGTATCTAGGCACATCTAAAATTAGATGTAGAATAAATTGGACGAGCTGAGAACAAATTCGATAATGTGTACCTGAAATTTCATTGATTTTGCTGGAACTTAGAATTTTTTTAGCAAATCTTTCTGTATAATATTTATCTGCTGTGTGGTAGCATGAGTGACATCTTGTGAAACATGACAGAAAAAAGTTGAAGACAAAGATGAGATAACCTAAAAATGGAGAAAGTTTTGTCCATAGCTGTTTTGTCTAAAATTGTTTTTTTTTTTTTTTTT